TTTCCCAAACAAAGCGCGAAGATCCTTGTAAATAATTCACCTTACGCTGCCGGTGTCGATTTCTTAGCCTTGAGTAGCCTTTCTAATGCAGCCATTGGAGTGGTTCTTASCACTCCTGTTWTGGAGGGAATAACGAGTCGCGTATCCGCCCTAACATTTTTCTATATTAACATCCATATTGACCACTGCCGTGTAATACCAATGCATGAGGCCAAGTTAAAGGCCCCGGGCCCCACAGTATCACAGTATCTGTTTATATGCATATACCACTAAAATGGTGATATCGCCCCTTCGTGTATGATCTTTAGAGGGTTTTCATCACGTTACTAATCGGGTCTAGGAATTATCCCGCATATAGTATAGCTATATATAAGCTAACGTATTCAAGTCCAAGTCTTCATATAATTATAACATTCAAACTGATAATCCTTGGCTTGCAGCTGCAGAATTTACCGGCCAGGCAATTGGACACCATGAGTGCTTTAGTACCTTTAACCATGGTGAAAACCACCAAAKTGTGCAATCCAAAGTGCGACCCAGATTTTTGGTCTAACTAGTCACTCTAACTCTGTGTCTCCAAGGGTTAAGGTCCTTAGGTTCGATGGGGACCTTCTCTTAGTGAACGAGGCTATGATCGTGTCAAAGTGCTCCGAAAATCATAGCAATAAATACATATGGGGTACTCACGAGGTATATTAATATAATATACTAGTTTGAAAATTTGTTGTTGGATTGCATACAAAAATTATTTTACGCAAATACAACTCTGAAAGCTATGTTTTCGGATCGTTATAACTTATAACTTTATGAGGCTATGCGAAACCCCTAATACTTTTTAAAAACAGATATATATTAGTCCAAGAAAATTCGAAGTTCTTTTTTACAAATTTGTTCCAACACAAACGCTCCAAAGCAATAAAACTTTAGCAGTAAGCCAGAAGTTATCTTTAGTCCCTAGTTCCGGTAGTGCTCTAAGTCATAGCGCACAACAAAAACTGCTRAGACGGCATTAAGTATTATTTCGCTATTCCTCTGAAAAGTTTAACAACTACATGTTTATATATAAAAATCACTTGTCACTTTGTTTGTCCACGATGGACGCCTAAACTACCGAACTGATTTTAGTAAAATTTAGCACACTGTGTTCAGTTCGGCCCAACTTAAAAGATAGGATAGTTAAGTCAATTCAAAACTAAAAGCTCACTTAAATGGACGTCCTATTAAGCGGACATCTCCATTAACCATGCACATTGTTGATGTTTACTAAGTACAACTGAACAGTTACTTTTTACTAAGTGACTGATCAGAAACGGTGGTAACCAGACATTGAGTAGGCAGCCTTAAATTCGTTACTATTTCCAATGAAATTTATTTGTATAAACATATTCAAAATTAGAGCCCAAGTGCAATCCCTTAGATTCTTATTCGCCTTTATTCGTAAATAAAATTTTCAATGTATGGAATAGTATAAACTGTATACCACAGCAATGCGTGGCCGGATCCCGTAGTGTTATATTATATATATTTCATTTTCAAATAAGCATAAACCGAAATTTCTCTCACCAAAGCAAAGAGTTTCACGAAGATACAAGGATGAAGACATTTCCTCAAACCGCAATCTGCAATCACCTGTTTACTTTATGAAATCACTTCCACTCACCATCCCGTTCTCACCGGTATAGAGGACACGAAAACGGCGAAACTTAAATTACACCTGCAAATCGAATAGAGATTTCCATATACTTGTATGTAAGTGACGATGTAAATGYATGTGCAAATGCAGATGGCTGCGTAGACTCTGGAGCGAATGTATTGCTGTTGGGAACTTCGYTTTTGAATGCAAACTACGTCCGCAGACCTGTGGATTTTCAAGAAGAGATAGAGCGCGCACACACAATTACACAAATTTGTAAGGACAGCAATCGCTCGTCAGCGCTAATGCGTAGTTGCAACGGTAAATGTGTGCGATGCGGCATCACACTCGCCACCGCAACCATTTCAGCATAAATTGAAAATCGAAAACCGCGCTTTTCAGGGCCGGATTTCGTGGTTGTTAAATATTCCATTCGGGTAACCTCGTTCTAATTTACGTTTCGGGTGTTGGAGTGTGTATGATTAGTGATGCAAGTTTCCAACTTACGACCGATTTGTTGCTTTCGCTGGCAGAAATTTCAAGGATTTTATAGAGACAATTTTGAATACATAAAGATATGGTTTTACTTTTTAGACCGAGCTTCAAACCAAGTCGGACTTGGAAGCTGTAGAGTAATCAGTTATATAAGAATTTATTGTTGAATATCTAGAAGCTATGAATACTACAATTGTCGGTTCTAAAGCAGAATTCAATACAGAATTTTCTTTAATGTTCGCAAATGCAAACCTCAATTTATGCTTCAAATATAAAAATGTCAAATTATAAAAGACAATTTTCTTGTATGGACCTACATATACCGTCAAGTCAGAGCAGATCCAGAAAAGGAAGTATGGTTTGAATTTGGCTAAGCAATGAACAGATAAAAAAATTGTTAATGCACTACGTTTTTCCCCGTTTGGCTAWTTTTAACAACTTTACTAAATACGAAAGTAGCATCTTAAATATAATATATTCATAGAGGTATAGAGTTTCGTAGCGGGATATGCAGTTGTAAAACCAAAAAGTTTTCAGAGCAAACATATTTGTTTGAGATTTATGTTCCGTGTAGTTTGCAGAATTAAAATGGAGGGCTTACACCGTAACAATGCCTAAAAATTCTTTAAATCTCAAGTGCTRAAATTCCTCAAAGGCACTGTGGGTTTCTTTGTATAAAGAAATAATTACTGTTAACATTTTACCAATATAAAGTGCCATCCATTTCACAAACTTAATGGAGAATGGCCTGAATTGAAGCGAGATTGCCAGCAAGACTTTAGACTTTACATATCCCCACATAAAAAAGTCTAACGGTGTGATATTACACACTCTTGGAGGCCAATCAACCGGCCCAAAACGTTAACAGCCGGAACCGATAAAACGTTGTCCGGAATTCCGGATCTATATATAAAGCGCTACAGAGCTCGTAGACGCTATGCATACTTAGTTTGGATATTGCGTTSAACAGTTATAGACGTGTAAACATGGAGTTCCTACCGGCGAAAGACCTGTGACGACGAATACCGAGCAAATCATGGAACACATCGAGTTAGACCGGCATTTGGCATTTCGTTATATCGCCCAGAAAATGGGAGTTAGAGTTTAGTTTAGTTAGTTTAGTTTCACCAAACCATTTAAAACCATCTGCAGAAAGAAGGCTGGATACACAGAAAGTCTGATAGTTGGTTACTTCATGACTTGACGCAAAAAACCTTCTGGACCGAATCAACGCCTGCGATATGCTGCTGAAACGGAACGAACTCGACCTATTTTTGAAGCGGATGATGACTGGCGACGAAAAATGGATCACATACAACAATATCATGCGAAAACGGTCGTGGTCGAAGGCCGTTGAAGCGTCCCAAACAGTGGCCAAGCAGGGATTGGCGGTCAGGAAGGATTTGCTGTGTGTTTGGTGGGATTGGAAGGAAAAGTAAAGTTGAACTCAAGARAGGATTGTGAAAACTGGCTATCCGAGTTCTTCGCAAAGAAGGAGGAGGGCCTGTACGAGGGTGGTATTATAAAGTTGCGGTCTACATGGAAACAGATAATTGAACGAAACGGCGCATATTTGAACTAAATCCGATATTTATTAATATAGATAATAGCCACGGTACAACCGAAATTAATCTTTTTTGTTATAAACAAATTAGAAGCATCGGAAAATTTTTCACGCTTCTTTACTTCAAGTCAAGTTTACAACAGTGCTGAACCATTTCAATGTCGTCKTACATCTTATACAGCTCATCAATCCATCGACTGTGGTATTCGCCATAGCCAATGCATAAAGGAGCATAAATTCCCCCAGAACCTTCCTCTCGAAACCTCGCAACGCCGACTCATCCGGTGCAGTCTTCGACCATGAAGAAGTGTTCCCTCCAGTATACTGTGGGCATCAGTTCTACAAGAATATGTGACAATTTTGAGAATCGAATGCGTATCTTCGCTCCAAGAAGATGTCTGAAATACTGAAAAGGTGTCATCCGTCGATAACAACACGTTCGATCTGGTAGATAACTTTTTGTTCCGGAGATAGCGGTGTAGCTTGATAAATTTTYCTGTGCAAGAATCTAGTGCTACAGATAACCATATTTAGGAGCCTGGCAATGTCGWTCAGCGATGCTTCATCATGGAGGCTGGATCCACCGATTGCCGAAGATAGCTTTTTTTCCCACCCTGACGTTAAAGTCGCCAAGCACAATTTTTACATCGTTGCGGAGACGATCTCAGGTGCGCTCTAAGCGCTCGTAGAAGACATCTTTGGTCATATCGTCCTTCCCTTCCGCCAAGGCTTAGGCACAAATCAGCGATATGTTGAAAAATTCCACCTTGATGCTAATTGTGGCTAGATGTCCATCTACCGGGGGGTTGTACAAAAAAATATGGAAATTTTAAAAAGAGCTTGCCGGACGCCTGTTTAAATGCAGTTGATTATTTATTGTTAAATTCATGGACTCGGACACAAAATTATTCCAATTTTTAAGAAAACTTTTGTTTTATCACTTTCATAGTCTCAATGTGAAATGAAAGTCTGTCAAAGGCAAATCCTTATCAATAATCTAGGCTTTCGCTTCTAATGCTGCAATTGGATTTTTGAAAGCCGTGATCACTATGCAGAACTTGAGATCGATGTTTCAGACCTATTGACGCATACGTATTTAGCCAAACCTATAAATAGCGTACAGGTATATATAAAAGGCAATGTAAACAATTTATTTTACCACTTAAAAGCCTTTATTTTCTCTTAATATGGTATATAATCTTCAACTAATATTAAATTCATACAAATTCTGCAAATAAATATTTTCTTAAAAGAATAAAGTGAATTAAACAGTTTCAGAAGAGAAGTGTATTTTTATTTTGCCTCATTGTTAAAGTTTATTTTATGACTTAGAGATAAAATTAGCTAAGCTTACACAGTACTTTGTATATGGCAATATGGTTTCACAAATTGGCTAAGACTTTACCTAAATATGTAAATATCTAAATATATATAGTATATTTATAAGTACGRTTAAAGCTAAGTTTTTGCTTTAGAATATACGCGGCGACCGTTTGTGTTTGATTTTGAATATTTAATAAACAAATGAGAGGTTTATCTTTTGTTCGCTCGTTTGYAAATCTGCAAGCGTTTGAATGCGTTCAGGAGAAAAGGCACCTGCCACAAATTTATTTTCCTTTCTGCTGCCGAACCAGCGCTCGTCCACTGTCGACTGTAGAATCTCCGCTGGGCAGATCCAAATAAAAGGAAACGCTTCAATTTCCCTCTCAACAGTTTGTATTCTCCCTTGTTTYTCGTTCACACCATCAATCTTCGGGCTGCTTAGCAGATTTGTCCTTTCCAGGCGCCCTGCTACCACAACTGACAACGCTTACGGCCGAAATGAAAAACGGAAACCCCCTGAAGTCTTACACTACTGACCACTATCATCGGACCTTCTTGCTATTACTACATTTCAAATATATACACCCGCGCATTTTTCTCCSCTGGAAGAAATGTAATTTGATTGTCCTGTGGCAGAGAGCCACTATCTGGTGTAGTGTCTTATGCTCTGTGCACCATTTTATCCCCGGAACATGGCCATATGGTTGAGTGGCGGTTTCTGCTTACAAATGCGTCGACAAGTTAAACGCCAAAAGGCGGTGCGAAAATCGGGATTGTAGAAAGCATAGATGAAAGGATTAATCGCGCAATTCACCCAGCCGACCCAGGTCAGAAAGGACATGAGACCCTCAAGCACCGCCGGCGGGGGCAAGAATGGCATCAACAAGTAATAGGTAAAGAACGGCAGCCAACAGGCGATGAAGCCGCCCATAACGATGGTCAGCGTCTTGGCGGTCTTCGAATCCCGCTTCGTTGTGGACACACGCATCGGTATGCGATGGGGATGATGGTGGTGATTGTGGTGATGGTGTATTTGCGCCTGCTCTTGATTTTGTCCCAACATCGGATTGAATTTCAAACCTCTTGTTGTGGTCAARCTTGTGGTAAGCGTGGAGTTGGCCGCCAGACAATTATCAGAAAACGACGTGCCATCCTCGATGAAATGCACCTCTTGCATGGGCAATGAGGAGGAGCGCCGTTCGGCCAGCSGTACACCCATCGCACTGGAATGCATACAGACGCCGGCGTATTTACAATTGATTGCCGAACACTGAATYATTGATGTTAAACGTGACACCTCAACCAACTCGTAGAACGATGCCTGATGCTTGAGACCGCCACCATTAATGCTGGCACTACCACCGTTGACATTGCCGAGGTAGGCCTTGTTGCATTTGCTGCAATGTAAACTGAGATTTTTCGCAGAGCAGTTATTGCTGCTGGCATGGCCGCTACCCCAACGTGACTTGAAGGAGGGAAATTTCGGCGTGGCACATTGATAATGCTCCGACTCGGAAATAAAATTGTCACAGTCTATATCATGGTCCGCGGTGCGCTCCGACTTCTAGCATACGCCAAGAGAGTGCATGTGAAAGATAAAATAAATGATGATAAACTTTCTTAGTACCGTTTTAATAAGTGTTAAAATATTGTTCCGCGCATTAATCAAATTCACACCCTGAAATTGCACGGCTGGGAATGCGAAATGACACAGACCTTCTTCCACACCATTTGAATTAAGCCAAGCACACACACGACTAGTTGTCACAACTTACCGCATCACGCACCATACGCTGTCTCCGCGACGTGAGGACATAGCCAATCTTCATGTAAACGTACATCATAACGGCGAGCGGAATGAAAAATGAGCCCATTGCGGAAAACACCACATATCCCTTATTTTGATTGTAGCGGCAAACGACATTACCTTCGCGCCGACGTCCCGGATCGTACCTGATAAAAAATAACAAAGAAATAGTTAAAAACCAGCACATTAAATGCGAATATTCAACATAACGGTGAACACTAGTGGATCTCACGCACATARCTCTAACATACATTTGGACTATATATTTACTTGAAGCGGGATTTTATGACTTTGCTGGTAGAAGTTACGTGAATACTTTTTAGAGCAAGCTTCGTAAAAGCTGGCGAATTTCCAATGTTAAAAAATATAAAGTTACGGAAAGCGTTTCCAATAAAATAACATTTTATTTTGTGAAGTAGAAATAGTTTGAAGTTATGGTCAAATATAACTGTTTTGATGTGGTCTAGATAGGTAAATAGGTAGGTAGGTAGAGTGGATGTATGACAAGCCTATTGTGAAACCAACGGTTCATCAATAGAAAAGGTTTTAGTCCTCTCTTTTTCTTAGTTCTGACAACTCTTACCATAGTTATATAGTTATTGTATGGCGTTCACAATCTGATGTCATGTCTGTCAATTATATACCGATCTTTTTAGCATTCGTACTAGAGTTACTACGTCTTTACTTTTGAATTTTAATAGTCGGAATATRCAGCCCAGTCAGAGATTAACTTCTGACTCAGCTGAATTTATAATATGATTGTYGACTAAATATCGACAAGTAGGCAGAGGCATACARATTCCCTCTTTTTCGGATTCTAGCAGCCTAGTATCTGTTCTGTTTGGTTCATCTAAACATTCAAAGTTTATCGTGAAATAATTTGATCCGACCGATTGATCGTCTGTCATGGATCCAAGACTCATCTCCAAWAATAGTAAGTTTCACAACATCCTGGTAATAGTAAAACATTTTTTTTTAAACGTTAACGCAAGGCTGTTTTTCGGAAAAATTTAATGGTTTTGGAACCAATCTAACTTTCCTTTGCTTAAATAACGGCAGTAAGATCCCTGATAATTAAGCGTCGATTTTGATAGTTATCCTGCACGTTGTTCCAACATTCTGAACGTATCGGCACCAAAAATTTTAAAAGGTCATACTATTTTTTGCCTACAAAAGCATATTTTTTGTTGTAAGCGCACAAGAAGGCTTTCTTTAATAAAGTTATCTCTGCTTGTAACACACTCCAGTGGAGTGATAAATGGAGGCTCTTCTGGTATCTATTGCTGTAAATTAGGAACTAGGGCAATATTGCGGACCGGAGTGGTCTAGATATAATTGGAAAGAATCGGAATCGAACCAAATCATACCTCATTTCTAATACCTATGAAGTCATAGTAAATTTCMCTTCTCTCTACAGAATTCTATTCTCTACAATTAACTCAGTCAAGTTGAGGACACAAGATGACATAAAACTACATCGACAAAGAAAAAGTGGTGAACAAATATTCCTGAAATATAGCCAGATATTGTGCGGCGTTTTGAAAATATGAACCTACAGCTGATAGAAAAAAAATATTGGCGAAGAACCGGACTAGAATATAATATAGAGCTGATTGTTAAGGGGGAAGCTTGCTTTAGAGGTTTCAAAAACTTTAGTTTTTTGAGGATTTTTTGGGAGGGAAAGAARTAATTGATRAAAGTGAAACTTCTAGGGTTTATAGTTATATATTTAAACATCATCCGAAAATTTTTTTGATGCGAAATCTTTGATATTCGGTAAATATGGAAAGGAATCTGAAAACACATTTAGTCGATTTCAAAAAATTAATTTTCATTTATTTTCGTGACTTTTTTTACGTGGGCACACTTAATAGTTTTCCATGATATAATTTTTTTCTAAATATAATAGTACCGGATGGTCGAGGAAGTGCATCGGTCATATCGGTCAATTTTTTTAGAGGTTAAAGAAACTCTATTTTCCGAAATTTGATAAAAGGYGTGTCTGTAAAAGAAATCTTTCGGCTTGCGTTGCCCCTGTATCTTAACTGGATTAATGTGCCACACAGCATCTTTAGTACACGCTCGAACTCCTCCGTTTTCTTCAGCACATATTTTAATGTGCAATGTATTGTAGGTTTCTATTGCGTCGTTTCACTCMTTTTATGTGCATTTTACATTAGTATCATTAACTTTGTTGCACAATGTTATCGGCATTATGTGGGAATATCTTGCAAAATACACACTACAAGGCTCTTAAACTCATGTGTACATGCACACATACTTACGATGGGGCTTTTTTGTGTCGGTACGGATCCATGGATGAAACTGACGAAACATTTTAGTGATGTGCAAAAACTCTAATGTGCGGGTGTATGTGTTTCATAAGAGAAATGTGCAAAAGTTCGCTTTTATTCTTCTGAATCTTCTTTTCTTGTTTTCGGCCAATGTTGACTGATGCATTGCGGCAAAGGCGGCGAATTTCAGTGTTAAGCAATTCCAGCAGATTGTCTGSAGTTAAAAAGTGGCAGTATGGCGATAAAAATGTGAGCCTATGAACAATATATTAGGTGAGCATTTKTTGCACTGCTTTCTAGTCTTAAAACTCGCAAAGCCGTAAGGAGGCAGCTTAAAATGAAATTTCTGTAGGATTTTCATAATGTGCGCAGTGATTGGGAGTTAGAGTGGCCCAGAAAGCTTATCGCTGGTTCAATTGCACACATATATCTAAGGGATTGTGGTAAGTATGGTTTATTGTAAATGACATCTATGTATCATATTAACGCAGTTATAAAATTTTTAAGTACGACCTGGCCCATCTGGCGCCTATGAGAGCACGAGAGAGAAAAACTAATCACCGGTTTGGTTATATGTATCTTCAATATGGAGATAATAACTCATATATATCTTCTCAGAATGRAGGTAAACATTGTTTACAATATTCCATTTCATCGACAGGCGCTTTCTGAACACATAAAAAGAYAAACCTCGAAATAAAGTAGTTAATTTAGTAAAAAGGGAGTGAAAGTAAGACTATGACCGAGATATTCAGTAGCCAAGCTATCTAAGAACACTAGTCTGTTAGAGCAAAGCCTTATATAAACGAGTATGTATAATATTATATTTGTTGGTAAAATCATACACAACTTAATAACTTAACATAACTTAATGTCTAAAATTGCACTAAGACAACAACAAAAAAATATTAACTTTGTTCCACCGAAGCCATAAAACTTTTCACAAATACAAAAGATTCCTTACAATAACTTGATTGACACTTTGAATGGCAGTTCTATGCTCCTGTTTCCTGAAGACATGCTAATGCAAAGGAAGAAGTGAAACAAATTTTTGTTGAAATAAGGAGAATGTAAGTCGGATCTCGTCTCAACTAATTTTTCGTGCATATGTAACTGTATGCCAAAAAACTTCGAGTAAAACTTTAGTTCTTCAAAACATATATGAAAACAACTTCCAAACACACAAAATTTTAACTATATTATCTATCGAAAAATAAATAGTTCATGCATATTCTCTGGACTCGTTTTACTGATCCGAACAACCCGCACCTTCTAGAAAAAATAAATAAAAAATGACGCCATACCGAAATGAGCTTTCAAATTTCCTGGATGAAAGTGTTGCAATGTCTTAAACTACCATTCTTTCGCTTTTTGTCTTTACTTACTGTCCTTTATCAAAGCCTATGAACCAATCACCTTTGATTGTTGAAAGTTTAGCAAACGATTTATCACTCAAAGATTGCTTAGCTCCATTCAGTATTTCATAAGCGTTGGGAAAGACCTTATAGCAACATCCTAATATTATTGGCTTTATCAAGGAACTTAAACATTCAAAAATTTGACCATTCACTCCAACTTTTTACGAAAATAGCAATAAAGTAGCAAAATACTCACCACCCCAAGTATGGTGGGCATGTGATTAATAGCGCCGTCACCCACACAATGAATATCATGCCCAATGCCAAGCGCTTCGAACGGCGTTTTTTGGAATAATTTAGGGGTTGAGTCACTGCGAGATATCTAAAAATAGTCCATTTTCAGAAATAAAATTGATGTAAATACAAGGGAATAAATTAAATAATAGAGCACCCCAAAGTTACGAGGTGTGTTCACAAAGTATCGCGAATTTTGAATTTGCGCGGGTTACGAATATTCGAATTTCGAATTTTTTGTGGCGTTATGTTGGTACTTATGTCTCTCACTTATGCCGACAAGCTCGGCCATTTTGAATGTTCCTTTAATTGTTGATCGCTGCTTTGCTTGCACGTGTTTTACATCGTCTTCGATTTTTACCTATTCAAAAAAATGGATCAAAGAACCTGTATCAAATTTTGTGTGAAAAAACGAAATTAAGTGCGCGGATGCATTCCGAATGTTGACTGTGGCATACGGAGAAGCTACCTTGGACCGAWGCAAYRYTTATCGGTGGTACAAAATGTTCTCAGAAGGCCGGGAAGATGTGACAAAAATTGGCTTTAGGCCAAAAACAACACATTAATGATGCCGCAGCCACCGTATTCCCGAGATCTGGCCCCCTGTGACTTTTTCTTGTTGAAAGGACGACGTTACGCTCCTCTTGACGAGATAAAGACGGCATCGAAGGAGGAGCTGAAGAAGAAAAAAAAATGATTTTTCGAAGTGCTTCGAAGATTTAAAAAGCCGATGACACAAGTGAATAATATCTCATGGGGATTACTTTGAAAGGGACAAAATAGATATTCATGAATAAATAAATAATTTTTGAAAAAACACAAAATTCGCGATACTTTTTGAACACACCTCGTACATATAGCATTCATTAGAAAACGCTCTTGTTGTAAAAGCTGCTGAAAGGTTATTTTTAACTGAATTTATAAAAAAATAATACTTCACTTAAATGTGTTGGCGTATGTGCAAACGTACGTGAACCGTTATTGAGTAAATTAGTGAGTACTTTATTAAATTAATCATGAAAAATTATTCAAATGTGGAAATGTAGCACTCCCAAAGGTGATCTAGTGACCGGTGCCCMAAGCATACTTAAATTATGGAGGGAAYACTTATCCAGCCTGCTGAATGACAGTGAACGCATAACACCAGAAGGAAGGAACCCYAATCGATGACGATGGAGCAGACGTTCCATTGCCCGTCCATGAAGAWGTTCGAAAAGCAATTACCCYTCTGAAGAACAACAAAGCAGCGGGAGCCGATTAATTCCCGACCGAGCTTTTCAAACACGGCGGCGAGCATGCATCAGCTTCTTTGTAAAATATGGTCGGACGAAAAATTTAAGTGTGCTCTGCCCAATCCGCAACAAGGGATGATATTGATAACATCGGCCTAAACACACGCGACGCTTTCTCCAGACTGGAGAAGGAAGCAAAACAAATGGGTCTGGCAGTGTACGATGGCAAGACGAAATATCTCCAGWCATCAAACAAACAGTCATCGCACTAGCGGGTTGGTACTCGCGTCACTATTGACATTCATAACTTTGAAGKSGTACATAATTTCGTCTATCTTGGAACCAGCGTAAAYACAACCAACAATGTCAGCCTAGAAATCCAACGCAGGATAACTCTTGCCAACAGGTTCTACTTCGGACTGAGTAGGCAATTGAGAAGCAAAGTCCTCTCTCGACAAACAAAAGGCAGAGGAAGAAGAAAACCTCCACTCCGTTGAAAGGACCAGGTGGAGAAGGACCTGGCTACGCTTGGAATATCCAATTGGCGCCACGTAGCGTGTAAGCGCTGTCTACGCCAGTCAAGAAGAAGATATTGTCTGACCCAATGATACTATATCTGAACAAGTTGTTCGGATCGAATAACTATAGCATATACATACATAGCTGCCATACAAACTGACAAATCGAAATCAAGTATGTWCTTATAAGCTATACTTTTATTTTTGTAAAGGGTTGCGTGCAAAAAAAGTTAATGTTTCCTTATTTTAGAATTACTTGGTATTTAAACTGCTGACTAACAAAGTGGAAGAAGTGTACGTACATAAATCATCTGTGTTTTGTAGCGTAGTATATAGTACGCTGCGAGCCAGAACAAGCCAGAACATTCGAACAAAAATAACAGCACTTATCAAACTTTTCTTATTTGTGTTTGATACTTTAGATAACTTGCACTGGGTCTTGCCTCAGCTCAGCTCAGCTCCTTTCGCTCGCTGCAGTGGAAAACTAACACGTAATAGCGCCATTTTTTCCCTTTGCTAGTGCGTTTGTATTTTTAGCCGCGAAATAAATAAAATGTTATCAATTCGTTTTCATAGTAGCGCATACTGCTCGAGCCCTTGTGAATTTTATKGGGATTTCGGGAGAAAATCGAAATGGGAAGCACTCAGCAATTGATACCATGAGACTTTCAATAAGGCGTGTAATGAAGCGCTGTACTCTTAAACGCTTTCCTAAATTTCGTTGAAATTTTAAAAACTTTTAGTGAAACAGTAAAAATATTACTATGCTGTATAAGATGAATATCGATAAAATAATTAGGTTAGGTTCAGGTCAGTTTGCATGGTACTTATCTTAATATATCTCACGAAATACGTTAGCCGTATACCCACATGCTATACATAAGTCAAATATAGACGTGCCATTAAATTGTAATTGAGACTTGTGTAGACCGCATTAAATGTATGAATAACAACAAAAGGTATAAAAACTAACAAACCGACGAAAACTGTAATGGCTAGACCTACAAAAAAGTATCGGCAAATAGATTTGCGCAATTTTTAGCATACCCTATTCCCTATTTGATGATTTGCGACGATAACAGCGGCAGCGATTAGTGGACAGCACAATGACGGAAGAGGTGAAAAATGACTGAGCATAGTTGACCTTTTTTGCAATTATTCCTAAAGCACCGCGCTTTCCTAGGTCACTTTCAATAAAGCAGTGTGTATGTATGTAGATGTATTTTTATTGTGTGTGCTCGCATTGTTAGTATGAGAACGTTGTAAATTACCTGTCCAGGCTAATGGCACACAAGCTCAGTATGGAGCCAGTGCAGAGCAGAACGTCCAGTGAAATCCAAATGTCGCACAAGATCCAACCATAGCGCCAGCTACCTACCGATGTATGCGTTATATGTAGGTGTGTGTAGAGCAGCCATTAAAGTCGAGTTTCCGTTGACGCGAATATGTGGAAGATTAAGAGGCTTGGATTAGTAAACATTTGGTGTGGTGTTTTGTTGCGAGGACATTAAGGTTTACAGTATCCTTGCACAAATTGACAAATAAACACACAYGAGCACACACATACACAKCCACACAAGCACTCCGTCACACACCGGCATTACCTGCACCTACTGGCTTCCTTGGAAACACACGACAACAGGCTGCAAACAGGCAAATTAGTGAGTGTGTGTAATTAGCAGATGTGACCTAACGGACAAGGTGCAATTATAGTACACAGTAACAACAAAAACCAACTGTAAACATACAATAAAATACGCGGCAAAGCACCTAAAGGCATTCCTGCTTGTCTTAATTGCCCTTAATCTTTGTATGTTCATATATTTACTTATCTAATAGGCGATGTGAGCACATAAACGTAACAACAAACACTTATACACATACACATAGACAGACATGCATACCCAACCAACCAAGGGTATCCAGTTTTTTTTCAGAGTATGTCGAGCTCTTAAAGTAAGGAAATAGGATCGAGAAGTTAAATGTTTTTGAAAGCGTTCCTTCTATGTTCTTGAACATAAACGGGTGGGTTAGGTTAGGTTTCAGAGCTGATTGCGCGATGGATAGCTGAACAGCGGTTTACCGAAGATCCGAGTCGCTACAATCTCGSTCTACTGATAGTTCCGTGGACGCTCTATCTCTTTTTCATTTAGATAATTGGGCAATTAGCGGCTGTGAACATTTTCTTCAGAGGTTATTTAGAACTCCTACAAAGACGGCAAAGTTGGCATGCGTTTCACTCTAAAACTCGTTTTAATGAAAAAGGCTGTCGCGCGAGAAGTAGCTAGCTCTAAATGTACATAGTTGTTCTTGACAAGTGCACCCCTAGCTCATGCGAGTGTCATTCATATAGTGGCAGAAGGCAAGGATCAACGGGCTCCAACGCTTGTTCTATATAAAGCTAGGAACATTAGTCATGTGACATTTAGTTCAAATATCTTTAGTAGTACTTCAATTACCACCGTTATTCTCAATCAAAAAGCCCTTGCAGGTCGAGTAGATATTCTTTCCAGTGGTGCATATWCCTTTGTGAGTGGTAGTTCGGACAATGCAGCTCTTCTCAAAATGTATACTAACAGAACCTGATTCACAATGTCGGCGAATTTCGAGGAAGTAATTACTTTTAATTAACTGGGTGGCATTCATATGTGAGTCACTCGTCACTTTTACTTAATTGCTGTTAGCAAACGAGCGCGWTATGAAGCGTTTGCGAATAGCTGGTCCGCCCACGCGCTCACGCGGACACACCGAGCCRCAATTCAAGCGAACAGAATTGAACGAAGCAGCAGCGTGTCTGGCGACATGTTGAAGYTTAATAAAGTCATGCCAAATGTCGCGTTCACATTCCATGTAAAACTTTGCTCATATTAGTTTTTTCGCCGTTGTTGTCGTTTTCATCAACTTTCAATTACAACTTTTACCCTCATACCTCAAACCGTTTATAAGTATATGGATGTATGTATGTATGTATGTATAAAACATGTTTGTTTCTTGCAATTGACTTTGTTCTTCTGCGAGTTTTCGCTAGCCCATCCTGCTGCACGCAATATAAGTGCGACCATCAGTATATCAAGTATTTCTCTCTCCCCCTCCTCTGACTCTCTTTACCAATATAGATGTGCTGATTACTCGAATTTTTCGTGCAGTTAAACAATTTTTTAGGTTTCATACACTTTCTATATTTGCTGCATACAGGTCCTTATGTTCGTAGATGCATACAGTGGTGGTCCTATWATTAGAAACGACTTTGCTGCATATAATTTTCTTAATTTATTTTAAAAACTAGCTGMCMCCGCAGCCGTTGTCCTGCGTGAAAATATGCGTTTTCAAATTAAAAGAAATTTGAWTTTATAGCATTTTTTTTTCTCAATGTAACGCTGCATTTTTTTGTTTCTGTTCCGGTGARCAGAAAAARTAGTTTTCCARCTCGTGAGTACGCYACGTATATCTGGCCGTGTGAAAAACATAACATTTCCAAATTTATGCCACACACTATGTGACTATCCTGTTGATCATCATCTCAAATTTAATTTTCACTGAAAACGGAATACGTTTGAACTGGAATGGCAAATCGTTAGAACTCAAAGGAATTCGTAGAATCAAGCATTCGGCTCCTTTGCATTCGACAGATGCGTCACAATCAATCGGGTTCCATTAAACAGTTTCGACGCATGAAGATTCCGAAACATAATATCGACAGATCCTACTTCAGACGGAAATGATGTGGTGGCATTCCAAGCCTCTCCAAAGAATTGAGAAACCCCACTGGATAATTCACTGCGCATCTTCATTGTCAAGATGATCGATCGATTTGCATGGCTGGAAGTCTCCCAGAATTTGACTTTGAATCTTCCAGTTTAAGTCAAAATCGTCGGTATTTTCCGCAGCTATCGCAGTTACGATAATTTGGCAGTTACGATAAATGTCCGAACATTCGTGATGAGTTCATCTTTTGTGCGTTGATAAACGGAAGATGGAATTGATATCAAACCACCGGAAGTATCAACCGGAATTGGCCCATTTCCAATTCTTAGCGAATACGATGTAAAATGTCTTCGGTAATGTCATTTTTGTGGATAGTGTTTCGTGATTTTATTGTCAGACGTACAAACAAGCAAGGTTCATAAACCATATTGGTTTCCACCACTTCGTATAATACTGGATCTTTTCCTGGATCAGAAGCACCATCCCAAGAACAAAGTGTGCCTCTCTTTTGCCACTCAACAGAGTACATTCAGCATCTAACAGCACTACGTATACTATACGTTACTTCAAGGTAAAGTCCAACGAAAATCGTAACTGTTGTTTGAAAAGTCGTGCTGTGACATCGTGACGATCGCTTGCTGATTGAAATCCTTGGAGTACTTCTTGCCTTGATTGGGCTGCCATACGTTGATGGCAAAAAAAAACCCCGACCTATATTAGCGTGACCTCTTCGTGGCTTCGGAACAAATTTCAATCTGTAATTGAGCACTTTTGTGAATAAAGAAAGTAAACGACAAATTTGAACGATTCAAATAATTGAAAACCAAAACAAAAAAATTAACAAAAAATTTTTATGAAAAAGGTTATTTTTTGGAATTGTTTTCACGACTTCTATTTCCATACCTTCCCCGATCCACAGCGAACAACCTCTGAAAATTTTGTGCTGATAGGTTCAGCCGTTCTAGAGCATTGGCGTTTGGCAAACATTCATTCGTTTGTGTGGGAAAAAGAAAGGGCTCTTTTCCGATGACCAAAGTGATCAGGGTGACGAGTAGAGTTGAAATCCGGATGTCTGTCTGTCCGTCCGTCCGTCTGTCCGTCTGTCCGCCGTCCGTGCAAGCTGTAACTTGAGTAAAAATTGAGATATCATGATGAAACTTGGTACACGTATTTCTTGGCTCCATAAAAAGGTTAAGTTCGAAGATGGGCAAAATCGGCCCACTGCCACGCCCACAAAATGGCGGAACCTGAAAACTTATCAAGTGTCATAACTAAGCCATAAATAAAGATATTAAAATGAAATTTGGCACAAGGTATCGCATTAAAAAGGGGCATATTTGGACGTAATTTTTTGGAAAAGTGGGTGTGGCTCCACCCCTACTAACTTTTTTGCACATATCTCGAAAACTACTATAGCTATGTCAACCAAACTGTATAGAGTCGTTTTTTTTAGGCATTTCCATAACCAGTTCAAAAATGGAAGAAATCGGATAATAACCACGCGCACCTCCCATACAAAGGTTATGTTGAAAATCACTAAAAGTGTGTTAACAGACTAACGAAAAACGTCAAAAACACTAAATTTTACAGATGAAATGGCAGAAGGAAGCTGCACCCAGGCTTTTTTTTTTAAATTTAAAATGGGCAGGAAGTACTCTACCGATTTCAATGAAATTCGGTATATAATATTGTCTTAACACCTTGATGACATGTACCAAATATGGGTGAAACCGGTTCACAACCACGCCTGAAATCTCGATTATCACGCAATCATGCGAGAGTAGAAAATGTTCGGTGACACCCGAACTTAGCCCTTCCTTACTTGGTTTTTTTTTTTTATTATTTTTTTTTTTTTTTTTTTTGATACAACAGGTTTTTTGTTTGCGCAATGCACCCACAGAGTCCCGACTCCTGTAAAGGCCGTCCGAGCTGAGATTTCTAAATTAATTTCTTATCCAACTTTAGCCTTTATTTCACGTGAAGTCATGAAGGTGTTGCTTTTGCTTGTCCTACAAATTATCCAGTCTTCTGCTGGAGTGGTTTTTCGAGGTCTGGTCTTCCTGGTAGGGGTTCTAAATTTCTTTGTTTTTGTTATACAAATGAATAGCTCCTAATAACATTTTTTTGGAGCACGCAAACCTTTGTACGATAGCTGACATTGACAATTTCTCCTTTTGATAGCACCTTAAAACAAACTCTCCCATTTTGGGAGTACATGACTTTTT